CTTACTTTTAAAAATAAAAAAATAAAATATTCACGTGCCTAAGTTTATATCCAAATTTCCATGTATAAGAGTCTTGATTCCTTTCATCAAGGTTTTGTATTTTTCTTCGTAGAGATCCCATATATCTTTGATAGATTTATATCTAAGATTTTGACTATTTGTGTGTTCTTTGTACAGGATTTCATGGCTCTTATCTTACTTTTTTGTTTATTGATGATACATAGCAATGTCATTTTTTGTTTGTTAATTTTGTATCATAGTTTTTGCCATACTTTGTTATTTTCAGCTTTTTTATTTAATTCTTTGGGGTTTTCTACATTGGTAATCATGTCATTGTGAAAAAAGATGTTTTGTTTCTTCTTTCAAAATATACGCACCTTTTATATCCTTTTCCTGTTGTTTTGCCTCAGCTATAACTTCTTCTCCGGCCCCGCCCAGGTGCAGTTTCCTTTCAACTTTTCCACCGCCGCAGGGAAGACTGCAGTCAGCCTGGTTTCTAAAGCTTCCCCCGAAACTCCACGCCTAGCATCAGTCCACAAGGCCCCCCAGCCTTGTCCGTCTCAGCTCAGAGCACTGCACCGCGGGCTAAAGGCTGCTTTCACGTTTCTTATCTCTTTACTGAGCTGCGGGAATACCTAGCACTCCTCCGACTTTCCTTTCAGTCACATTCCTTTGACTCGAGTCCCAGCCAGCTTGGTGTTTCTGGGCAGGAACAACGTGGCTCTGAAGATTGCACACCAAGTGCTGTTGTCCCCAACCCACTTGCTCTCAGAGGTGCACCGAGGCCCTGGGGCATCCATGACCTCCCTGGGCCACCCCGCCCAGCTCCTTGACCTTTTGTCTTTATTGCTTCTTAAGTTTCAGTGCAGAGTGGTCTGCGGAGAAGGGACCTTAGCGCCATCTTGCTGCACCATTATTGTCAATAAGGAGCTTCTTACAAAAGAGCACCTGGAGAAGCACAAGGCCAATCTAGGTGAAACAGAACAGAACATGCTTCGCCCAGAATCGTAGATTACCAGGGCGGAATGAATTTCTTGAAATCACCTAATCCAGTTCTTGTTACAAGCAGGAAGCACATGAAGCCCCCCTGCGTGAGCGCCCCTTCTCCGAGCAGTCCTGCGCAGCCCTTGCCAGTGTCCAGCGCGTCCACATCCAGTTGCACGTGGACGTCAGGAGATGGCGGCCCCACCAGCTCCAGTGACCCGGAGCCGCACTGCGCCCATAAATAGCGAAGCTCTTCTGGCCCTGAGGCTCTTCCCGCCCTGGCCTGCTTCTCTCCCTCTTCTCTCCGGCAGCCCCGACACTATGCAGATCTGTGCGCTGCTCTTAGCTGTCTCTCTTCTGCTCCACCAAGATCCAGGTAAAAGTTTTCTTAGCTACAAACATGCACAGTCGCAGAGGCCAGGCAGTAGAGAAAAATCTTGGTTAAGAAAATAAGTCCTAAAAGACTCAGCAGCTTTCTTCATTCTCAGCATTGGCCTCTTGGGCATCGCTGAATCTATTAGCGAGACACTGTGAGCGCAGTCCCTGGCAGGTAAACCTGCTCACCTGCTCAAACAGGAAAGACTGGGCCGGACCAGGAAGCTTAGAAGTCTCAGCCAGACCCTCGCTGCTGCCCGCAGTAGGAGCTTCTCTTGGGCCTCCAGGTGCAGAGCCTGACTGGCAAGGAGCCGCTGCTTTCCTGGGTTTGCAGAGTGAGGTGCTTTCCCCCCTCCTCCTTCTTCTGACCAGCTGTACTTTGCATAGCAAGGGGACCTGCTCTTCTCTCAAATGTTCTGGCAGCTTTTTCTGTCACACCAGAATATTAGAAGTAAAAGGGACACAATAACTTTCACGGGATAAAGAAGTAATTTGTTGGTAACCAAATGGGAGGCCCTGTTGGGAGGAAATTCAAAAGTTAGAGGGGGAAGGGGGCGCAGCAGCTCTTTTCTGACTCTTAGGCCATTCTACTCCGAGCATTCATGAAAGGTCATTTGCCTAACTACTTCATTTTAAAAGCTGGCCCAAATACTTTCTAGTGCAAGAAAGAAAAGCAAAGACAAAAACACCACTTTCCCAGAATTGCTCAACAAATTGACTTGTGCAACAGGGACAAGGCCAATGGTGTTGACTCCATGGTCTCAACCTGGCCTCTCCTGTGACACCCAGAGTAGGAATCCCTGGTTTTACAGGGCACCCGCACTGTCCTCCCCACCTCTGTGCTCTCTGCAGAGTTTGGATAGGTTCATCTTTGCAGGGCAAAGGTCCTAGACTCCTGCTGGGCTCCTGGTCCTGAGCTCCTCCCGTGTCTCTTCTGGGTCCCTTCTTGCAGCTCCATGCAGGAGGCTCTGCAGCCACCTGCACTCGCACCTCCACCCCTCGCAGTACTGTGGCCAGGTGCCTGCAGTCTGGAGTGCAAACTGAACTGGTGGAAGGGGTTCTTCCCCCAAGAGCCCTCCTGAAACTGAATGAGGAAGTCCACAGCTCCTGCACAGCAGGACTCCCTTCTGTCCGGGTGCCTCAGTCTACCTACACTCCTCTGGCTCATTCTAGTCCAGTCTGTGTAATCATTATTCAGCAGGAACTAGGAGGCAGGAGCTATGCGCCCAGCATGGAGTATATAATGCTGAACAGTGCGAGCGCGGCCCTCACACACAGGGAGTTCACAGCTCCACTGAGAAGAGCAAAAGAATTCTTCTAAAAAAACATAATTCCAACTTAGGATAGAGGGAATTAGAGAATAAAAATGCATGAGGGGAGAAAATAGCTTGGGGACATTTAAATCCATACGGAGGTGGAGGGGTGGCTTCCAGCTAGAAAGATTAAGGTCCAAAGACTTCAGGCATGGGAGGTGGAGAAAAGAGTGGCAGGCAGAGGAACAGCCCCAGAGAGGGGCCAAGAGTGCCCAGAGCCAGGACAGAGGAGCAGCAGGGAGCCACACAGTGACGAAGTGTGAGCCAAGCATACAGTGAGTACTTAGAGACTTACGCTAGAACACACACTGCCAAGGAGCCCCTGCACAGCGTCCCCCTCACTTCAGACACATCCCACCATTACCGCCCCTTCCTGCAGCAGCTCTGGGAATCCTCTTTCATGCATGCCTCTGTGCAGGCTGATTGGAAACGTGAATGCCGCTGCGAGTGTGCGCCAATGGAATGGCGGCTTCTGAAGACCTGACAGTGTGGCCCTGCCTACCTTATTCCCCAGATATGGCCCTGTGGAGCTTGTGGCGTTTCCCTAAAGTCACAATAACTGAGAAAGATAAAAGTTTTGATTCAGTTCAGGACAGCAAAGCAGTCATGACCGCATAATTAAAAAGAGCACTTCAGGAGGAGGCAAGAATGGTGTGATGCATGTGTTCAAGAGGGTTGGGGGTTAAGGAAATAGGTGGCAAGGATCTTTTGCTATATTTTTTTAAAATTAAACATTGGTTACAATTTCTTATCATACCCTGCACAGTACAGCGTAGGCCAAGCAGGGCAACATGTCAGACAACTTCATAGACCTAGAGAGGGTCTTGGTTGGATTTAATGGAAATCTACTGTTCAGCTCATGCAGGGATTTTAAGAAATTATGTGATATGGACAGGATGTGTGCTTTGGAGAGAAATCCTGCTGGGTGGGAGGCTGAGGAGTTAGGAAAGCGGAAGAGGGGAGGAAGAGGGAGGCTCTGCTGGGGCTGTGGCCCTTTGGGGCACAGAGCATGATCTAGACTTTTCCTACCATCCAGCGTGCAGCGAGCTGGAAGTGGACAGAATATGTGGCTATGGGACCGCTCGCTGCCGCAGATGGTGTAAAAGCCAGGAACGTAAGATCTCCACGTGTCCCAACACCTACGCCTGCTGTCTGAAGCCCTGGGCTCACAGCTCACAGAATGTCAAGGGACAATGACCCCGTGGGCGCAGCCCAAAGCCTGGCGGTGGAGGGCAATGGAGCAGCCTCAGATCCGGTCCCTGGAGGAAGCTGGCTCCTGCTCAGAAAGCAGCCACCGCCCTGGAGGCTGTGCAGGACACAGGCTCTGGCCCCCTGGGCCCCACAGGGCCCGCCGCAGGTGCAATTCAGGTGTTGAACAACAGAGGCTAAGCATTTATCTGGAAGACACTAGTTTTCTGATCAGAAATTCCAGTCAGAAATTGGGAGCTATACATCTATACTTAATTAAAGAGGAAAATAAACCAGTATTAAATCCAGTTTGCTTGAGATACACTATATTTCAAAACCCTCCGAAACACCAAAGCGAAACTCAGGAGACTGGAGCTTCAGACCCTGGGGTGGAGGTGCGGACACTGGCGGCACAACAGCAGAGAGCAGCTCCGCGCTCGAAGGGGGCGTGGGGACCGCTTTAAGCCCGAGCGGATGGGTGCAGGATAAACCGCTGGGCGAGGGAAAGCTTTCCTCCGCAAGAATAGCGCAGCTGAAAGTGAGGAGCGTCACGGTTTTGCCAACACACTGGGAAATACTGATCTACCTAATGCCTCACAGCCAGTGTCCAGGGCCTCCCTCCGGAGGCTCCCAGGGTCATCTGCAGCTCCAGGCAGGGCCCACACGTTTCAGGTACGGGAACGGTGCTGTGTTGGGGCCCTGAGGACCCACGTACTCTGCTGACCCCATACGTGACAGCGCCGTGCCCGACATAGACCACCGTGCGCCTCCCTTCAGCTCCTGCTCCTGGATTTCTTCAGAGCGCATGAGGCAGGGACAGGGTCCTGGCTGCTGAGTCCAAGACGATATCCTGCTAATTTGTTAGGATGGCAAGGAGCCAAAGTGAGACTCATTTATGTAAACTTAGGCAAAAGGAATAAAAGACCAGGCAGGGGAAAGAGGCACTATTCCTGTGAAAACATTTGTTTGTTTTTCTTTGTGACCACCAAGAGTTGCTATTTTTTTCTCTTTCCTATTTTTTAAGTGACATGAAAATTCTACATGTTTATTTGGTTGAATGTGATAATTTGATCAATATGTACAATGTGCAAGGCACAAATCAAGGTCCTAGGACACCCATCTTCAATGCTCGTTGTTCCTCTGCGTCAGGAACCTTTGAATTCCTCTCTGCTGCTTCTTCATAAAATGCATAATAAACTGTTGGAATCTGAGGTCTCCCTACCACAGCGTCGCGTCGGGAGCCCCTCCTCCTACAAAACTGGGGCTGTGGGCCCCATCTTCTTTCCTAACCATCTACTTTTTTCCACTGTCAACTGACAGAATGCTCTGGAAAGAGTGAGAGCAGACTGTAGGGCCAGTCTCTATGACTGTGTCACAGGCTCTGCTATCGTCCTCCGGTACCTGGAAGACTGCCTGAGGCATCAGAGGGTGGGGCAGATGCCAGTGCTCCCAGACCTGCACCTCCAAGCTCCAGAGCAGTGGTTCTGCCCAGAGAACAGGAGCAGCGATGACAGGTGACGCTGCTCGGACCCTCGTGCTCACACAGGCGTGCGCGCCAAACCTGCGCCTCCTCGTGGCTTCCCCGAAGTGCAAGCTGCTACTTTCACAGCCTTTTTCTCTCTTTCACCTTTCTCCAGATAAATGTAAGAATGTTCGTTTACATATAGTCCAAGGTACTATTGCCATTTGAACCCCAATATGCAAGCAGCAAAACACACTCAGAGACGTTCGTGACCCCTCCCAGAGGCTGCTGATGGCATATCCAATGTCCCACTGTTGGAAAACCACGGAACAAAAGCCAGTGTCATGTTGGCGTCGTTGGAACCCTTGGCCTGGGTTGTGTAGGCTTCAGGTGAGACACAAACTCCTGCCTGGTAAGAAGACAAATGAGAAAGAGGAAAAGCTCTGTTATTATAAGAGAAAACGCTTACTCAACTGCAAGACGTTTTATAGCAGCAGTGAGCGGAACACACGAGTACGAGTCTGCGCTTCCTGCCTTCAGGCAGGACTTTTTCCGGCACCGTCGACGCGATCCACACGCAGGATACCCGTGGGGGGCAACGGCAGCTTCACTCACGTCGCTGTGCTCCTGACTACGCGCTGCAGAGAAATGATCTTGTGACAGCGTTTTGACTCCGCTTCCCAAGGCCTTCTTCGACCTCCTCCTGCCTTGCTGTCGTCTTCTCCTTTCCGTTCCAAGCCCACCCAAGGTATTCAGGTATATTATTCACTTCTTGAAAACTTACCTGAAGTGTTTCTTCTGCGAACAGCAGAAAAATAATATAGTTTCCTGTGCCCTTGTGACCCAGAGCTCGCCCCAGGCTGCGGCGCTGGCTGGCGCGCAGCCCACTCGCCAGCCCAGCCTACAAAGGGGCCTGCGGGGCCCAGCCCCCTCGCAGGCGCAGTCCTTCCTCCAGACATGGAGCCCCGACTCTTCCTGCTGCTCTCCGCCGGCCTTCTCCTGGTGGCCCCGCTGTGCCCAGGTAAAGCGTGCTCCGCAGAGGTCACTGTGAGTGTGGGGGCCAGGCTGGGAAGCGAGGCGCCTCTTCCTGTTGGAGCCTTGGGAGCAACGTCTCTGAGATGACTAGATGGCATTTTGGACCCTGCTGCTGCGGGCGCTGAGTCCCAAGAGGGCGGGCTGCTCTGCACAACATTTTCTGATTTATCTTAGCATTCTTGTTTCACCACAGCAGGGATCTCAACAACCGTGTGGGTGATGACCGAGGCGAGGGCTCTGCCTGGCCTGGTGGAGCTACTCGGACTGCTCACCCTCGCTGCTCTGCACACCAGCACGCCCGTGCACTCTCTCTCTCTCTCTCTCTCTCTCTCTCTCTCTCTCTCTCTCTCTCTCTCTCTCTCTCTCCCTCCCTCCCTTTGTGTCTCACCCTGTGTCTCTCTGTTTCTCTTCCTCTCTGTCTCTCTCTCTTTCTGTCTCTGTGTCTCTCTCCATCTGTCTTCCTCTCCCTCTCTGTTCCCTCACTGTGTGCATCTCTCACTCTGTCTCTCTGTCTCTCTGTGTCTCTCTCCATCTCTCTCCCTCTCTCTGTCAGTTCTCTCTCTGTGTATGTGTCTCCCCTTTGCCCTCTCTCTGGACGCAGGCAGCACGTGCACAAATGTGTACACACACAGTTGACACTGCACCCCTCCACCTTGCCCTCCCAGCGCTCCTCTTTCCAACCCCTTAGAGATCTCTCCTCCTTGGAAGTGGCCAGTTGCAGCGCTCTGCGCACCCTCCGCCATGCCTTAATCTCCCCACAGGGTTGCCCCGAGCCCACACTCCTGGCCCTGTGGGCACGGAGGCTCGCAGTAATGCCCAGGAAGGATCTTCTGGACAAGGAGCAAACAGATCTCTGTTACACCACAGAGTAAAACACTACCTACCACCGCGCACTCCCCCTTACCCTGGTAAGTCAAATGCCAAATGCAGGACACGGTGCTCCTCTTTGCAAGTGTTGAGTGGGTGAGAAGGGCAGACATCTCTGCTGATGCTTCGGAGTGAAGAAGAGTTGTTTGAGAAACACATAGCAAGGGTGGCGTGATCTGCTGCACCTGTTCAGGAAGCCCATGAGCACCTTCCACTCTCTGCTTGGGCTGGATCCCTGAGGTGACAATACCGTGGCACCCAGAGCTGAGTGGCGGGAGCCCACTCAGTCATCTTTCAGGCTGCCCATGCGCAGTAAACAGAGATGATTTTGGTAGGTGGTTCTCCTCTTGCCAGGTTGGAGTTCTGCTTCTTCAGTGTTGAGGTCATTCCCTCCACAGCAATTTCCTGAATACCTGCTAAGTGCCAGGAGCCAGAGGAGGTTCGGGGAATGCTCCTGGGAGGGGGACACAGAACAGACTCTGCTCTCAGGTGACTTGCATGGGGAGGGCACAGGGGATGGCAAGGAACCAGGCATCCAGGAGACTGCTCTGGACTCCGCTGGACTAGTCCAGGCTCCCGGTCTGCCCCCAGCCTCCTGCCCAGGGATGACTTCAGATTCATAAAGCCTGGAAGAGACAGTAGTTCCGGAGACATATCCTTAATTCCAAACTCACTGGTTCCCTGAAACAGGGAAAAGTAGCTCAGAAGCTCCATGGACAAAGAGGATGAGAGGGTAAAATCAGGCACTAGCTCTCACTAACTTTAATTCCTGCTTTATCCGAGCCTAGGCTCCCTCCCCCAGAACCGGCTTCCAGTTATAAAGGACTCCCTACAAGTTTGCCTCCCAATGAAAGGGAAAAATGAAATGCCGATATTGCACCACACATACAAGCAGGCTCAACAGTAAGCCTCTGCTGTCATATGCTGTGTGGTCTAGTGGCACTGTGGGACAGGATTATTACTCCCATTTGGTGAGGGAGAGAGCTGAAACGATGGAGAGGGACCAGAGCTCTATGCCTGGAGTTATTTTTATAGTTTAGAAATTGGGACCATGAACTATAGAAAGCCATTTTGGGAAAAAAGTTATTTTCTATTCACAGCCACCACCACCATATCCTCTACTTTTATTAGCATGCATGTGTAGGACATAATTGTTACCTTTACTGAAAGGAGTAGGTGCCTCTTGTATTCGTTCCGTTCCGCCTCACCTCTGTCCCCTCCCCCATCTCTGGATCCCAGTCCACTGACCAAAGGTCTCTCCCCCTGTTGCCCGTTGTCTGTCTTTTATTTTGCTCTTCAAATTGCTTCTGCTTTCCCAGCCATGTCCTAAAGGGCTAGAAGGCCCCGTTCGATTCTTGAGGTGGCCTACAGAGGCTAACAGCGGGTATTTCTTTATACAGAACCTGAACCAAATTTCCAAATCGTCAACTGTGTAAGAAGTGAAGGCCATTGTCAAGAATTTTGTAATTTTATGGAAACACAAGTAGGCTACTGCTCAGCAAAGAAAGATGCCTGCTGTCTGCACAGGACATGCTGCGATCCTTGAAGCCCAAGCGGGCCCCGCTGGCCGCTCTCAGGGACCCCCTCCTCGTGCAGGAGCCGGGAGCTGGAGGAGCAACTCAGAAGGAGGGCCGGAGGCAATGTAAGCCTCTCCCTGTGACAAAATAAGTACCAGCGACTGCCTGCACATGAACCTAAGGAGAGCGGCTTAGCTTGAGGCACATGGCGTCTTCAGAACTGCACCGTTCTTCTGCTGGATGCAGATGTAATAAACTTTCATAGAAGGGCATTGAGATAATGTGCTCTGTTACTTAGCACGTATCCTTGGTATGCTC